ATAACTTTAAAAAACGGCGTGGGGTCCCCCCTCCCGTCCATACCAAGCCCTTCGGGTCTGGAATGGATTTGGAGGGGTAGCCAGATCCTAATCCCTAGCATGCAGCCTGGCAGGTCAGGAAAGGGGGGGGAAGCTGAGCGAGCGCAAGCACCCCCCCCCCCCAAACCATACCAGGTCACATGCCCTCAACATGTTGATGGGGACAAGGGTACCTCTTCCCCACAACCCTGGCCAGTGGTTGTGGGGGTCTGCGGGCGGGGGGCTTATCAGAATCTGAAAGCCCCCTTTAGCAAGGGGGCCCCCAAATCCAGCACCCCACGTGAATGAGTATGGGGTACATGGTGCCGCTACCCATTCACAAAAAAAGTTGTAGTGTGAAAAAAGACAGGAGTCATTTTTTGACAAGTCCTTTAATAAAAGAATGTCCCCCGAAGTAGATGTAATGTCAATCACGATGTCCGCTGCCCCTAATAAAAAATAAAAAACAAAAAATGCCCGCTACTGACGCTGGACCCTGGCCATCTGTTCAGAAGCTGGTTCGACAGCTCTTAAATATGTATGGGGCGGGGCCATCACGTGTGTGACCCCGCCCCTGTGTGACATCAGTGACCAGCATGCCACGGTCGATGATGTCATGCAGGGCAGGGTAACACAGGTGATGTCACCGGGTGGCCCCGTCCCTTACATATTTAAGAACTGTCAAACCAGCTTCTGAGCAGACAGCCGGGGGCCAGCATTGGTAGCGGAGCCTGACATCGATTCATTCAGGGTTTTTTTGGGGGTTTTTTTGTGCTTAGCCGTGGCCATGGCTAATCACATGACACAGCTGGGCTGTGATTTGGCCCAGCTTGTGCATGTGATCGCTGTGGCCAATCACAGCTAGACACACTAGTATACAATGGAAGGCATGAATGAAGCCATCCATTGTATACAACTGTCATGGGACCTGCTGTGATTGGTCACAGCAGGTCACATGGTACCGGCAATGGGGCCGGTACTCAGATCTGTCATCGGCCGTGTCCGAGGTACAGGGCCGGTGACAGATTGCGCGCTGCTGCGCGGCTCTTCAGGCGCGCAAACTGCGCATGCATGGGAGGACGCCATATGGCGTCCACCCGGAACGCTGAGGGATTTTGACGGCCGCCAAACGGCCATTGGCCGGGCGGCAAAAGGTTAAAGGACTTGTCAAAGAATGTCTCCTGCAGACCCCCCAACCACAGCTCAGGGTGCGGCGGGGAAGAGGCCTTTGTCCCCATCAACATGGGGACAAGGTGCTTTGGGGGGGGGGAGCTCCCCCCATGTTGAGGGCATGTGGCCTGGTATGGATCAGGAGGGGAAGGCACTTGCTCGCCCCCCCCCCTTCCTGACCTGCCGGGCTGCATGCTCGGATAAGGGTCTGGTATGGATTTTGGGGGGAACCCCACACCATTTTTTTTTTTTATTTTGGCATGGGGCTTACCCTCAAAATCCATACCACACCCGAAGGGCTTGGTATAGATGGGAGGGGGGGACCCCACACTGTTTTTTTATTATTTTTAATTGCTGGCAATTTTTTTTTTTTACATTCAGCTGTTAGTGGGAATCCCGCTGACAGCTGAAACATTAACGCATGCTTTTCACTACTAAAATACCGCATGACTTGATAAAATAACTTGATAAAATAACATGACTTGATAAAATAATATGCAGTATTTTAGTAGCCTTTTTTAGTGAACTTACTACTTTTCAGTGCATTCTGGGCATTTTGGAGGGACTCCTGAGGTTAGCTTTTAAAAACGCTTCTAAACGCAAACGTGCATAAACGCGGCTAAATGCGTTATGCAAACGTGGCTAAACTGACGTTTTTTAACCTACGTTTTCCAGCAGTCAGTTTCCACCGTTCAGAAGAGTTTTCCAAATGCCCCGTGTACATGAACCCTAAGGATGTGGAATTCCCTTTCACAGCTGGTGTTGTCAGCGTAAATGTTTTGATATGTTCCTTACCAAACGCTATACACATGAATATGGAAAACAACAGTCACTCTCACACACATTCTCAGATTCAACTGGATAGACCGGTGTGTGTATGCAACCTTACCAACTACGTAACTAGATGAAAGGATTTCAGCTTTAAAGTTTAATTTGAGAAATTCACCCCTTATGGGCTGCAGACAGCTCCCAGAGACAATGGGGGAATGACAATACAGTAAATGTAATAGTTTAATGATAATTGGTAGGGAATGCTTAGGTTTTAGAAAGCTGGTTAAAATGGTAACAGACGGAAGTGGCCTTGTTCAATATACTACCCCCTGATGTTCCCAAAAAAATCGATTAAATTAATTTTATATATAATACTGGCGGCTCGCATTACCATAGCTAGAAGTTGGAAACAATCCTTGATCCCGCTGGATAGAGTGAAACAAAAACTTAACTGGATAATGGTTAATGATAAACTGACGAGTATTGTCACTGACTATGTGTCCAGATTTGAGAGGACTTGGGAGCCTTGGATTAATTATATAACTGTATCGTGAGTGTCTGGCAGCTGACCCCCCCCCCTCTTATTTTCTTTTTTTCACTTGGGAGTAATATCCTTCTTCGTCTCTCTCTTCCTCTCTTTTTCTACTTTATTCGTTGAACTTTTTTTTTTTCTGTTATTTTTGGTTCATTTTGGTTTAATTTTTGTTTATTGATTATGAAACCTGTACGTCCTGATGGCTATGACACTTTTTGTGTGAATTGTAATGCTATTGTCTGATAATTTTTTTACGTACCTATAAGTGTTATGATTCTGATTCTACATCTTGTTCCACCATGCAGGTGGGCCTTTTTTTTTGTTTGCCATCTTGTTTTATGCTTTAATATGCTTGTTTCTCAATAAAAATATTGAAATATAAAATAGTAACAGACAAATACTGTATGTTTAACACCCATTGTTGAAGACAATAAATTAGACATGTATTTTTACTATAACACTCAGTTCTGGGTGCCTTAGACTAGAGGAGAAAATGTAAAAAGTCAATGTAATATGCACAATATTGCACAAATTTGAAATACGCTTTCTAACATTTTTATGCTTTCCACCCTTTTAAATCTAGCCAATGTGGATCATAGTATTGAATGAAGGGACAATAAATAATCAAAATGAAAACAGTATCATATTAATAAAGCCTCTAAACTTCATTAGATCATACTCAGAATCTGTTAATGGGAATAAAAAAAACAGAAATAAAAAGTGCTGGTGTCATTTTAAAATGCTACTCTTAACCAGAGGCTCAACTAGCAAAATACATGCTTGTATAAAGCAATATAGAGCAGCTTCAGATAATTGACATGCAATTTACGTGCATTTAACTCCTCTTTCTGCCATAACACAGTTGTAATGATTTTCTTTTTTGTCGAGCTAAACATTACTTCTGAACCAGTGTTTGGAATGCTCTGTAATAACATTTGGATTATATGACTGAGAGGACTACACTGATCTAAGACTGATGAAGAAGAAAAAAAAGCTGGATAGATATGCCCTGGGCTGTAATGTAGTGTTTTGATGCGGCAAGATTCAAATGCCTTTTGCCTTAGGAGAATAAATTGATTTGTAAAAGCTATCTAATTAATAAAGCAAGAGTCACTTGATGTGCCTGCTTGCCAATTTACTCTCTTTTGATCTTATCCCCTTACTTATACTGTAAAATTACAGCTCTGTTTCAGAGCGGGAGAAGTAAGCAGGAAAACAATGAGCAACGTATTCTTGTAATAGTCTTTTTTATAGTATTCTGCATTCATTATACCGTAGAACAAAAGCGAAGGCTACAAATTACCACTAATGGCAGTCTACTAATGAAGAGAATGGAGAAATTTCATTAGCATTTAAGAGAAAAGATTTATTATGACCTAGAGTTGCTTTCTATTATGACTCACTTAAGTAAGAAAAAAGGGGAAAGAAAAATCTAATAGTTAATTTACATGTGTAAGTGGCTGAGACTCTGTCATCTGCTGATTGGTACAGAGCCACGTAATGAATAGCAAATATAAGCATATAAAACCAGTAATTAGTGTTGGCGCAAATGATGTGCATCTTGCTGAAAATTTCAGACTGTTCTGTGTGTTTGTCTTCTGTTTAGCAGGTACCTTGTCACCGATATTACAAACACTAGAAACCATTCTCTTTAAGTCTAAGGTAACTTCCCATTACTTAATTGAAGTTAAAAGCATATTAAGCATACAACATGTTTCATAACATTACTTAACAATAAAACCTGTTTTTCATTTGCCACTATATGCAGAAGTCCCAGAGATATTGGAACTATTCAGCTCATAAACAACTCACTGATATAGAATTAGCAAACAAAAATTCTTCTCCATTCTGTCACCAGAGACCTAGTTATTCCCTCATTGGGTGCTCTCATCTTGTCTCACTCACAGGACAGAGGAGGTAATGTCAGCCCATAAGTCCCATACACCTCTGTCCTTCCTATCATAAGCACATGTCATTGCTATTTGCACAGGTGACCAGGAACATGACCACAGATTCAGATGAGGGCTTAAATATGGACTTTGACAAAATATCAAAATGTGCATGTCAGTAACAGTGATGTTTAGTTTACATGTTTTGTGGGAAACGAGAAGCTTTTGAAACAGCTAATGAGGCACATTATAAATGTACCATGGTAATACAGAAAAAATAGCAGAGACTAAATAAAAGCATAGTCCTCCACTGCATAAGTGTGCACACTCTCCTTCTCTCACTGCTACAGTATTTAAACACAGTGATCATGGAAACTGCACCACAGACATAAGTGGAGAAGCGAGTGACTGTTTTGCAGTCATTCAGAACTGTCAGTAGACAGTGCCCTGCTGACACAGAAGCGTTTACTAAATTGGAAACCACAAAGGGATCAAGGATTGTTGACATTCACCTACCACAGCGATCAGCAACCTAGTCCTACATATGTCAAAAAACTGAACTGGAATACATGAAGCACCCTAAGCAAAGACCAAAAAACAGTTTTTAAGTTATTCACCTGGAATTCATCAAAACACAACAAACAGGCTTCTTCACTTATTTCCTCAGCTATAGGGGCAATAGGGTCATAGGTGTTGGCCATGAATCCTGCTTTCCTTTTTGGTAAACTTTTCTTAAGACGATGTATTCCTGGATGAAAAGAAAAAAAAAGACTTCAACATTGTCACCTACAGAATACTTAAAAGGTAAATGGTGAAAGTCACTGACATACAAAAATTCTTTAGATAAAACACCACTAACACAGAACCCCACTAGCTGTTATATTAACCAGTTCCCAACCACGCTATAGCCAAAAGATAGCTACAGTGCGGTCTGCTAGTTCAGGGAGAACGTCCATGGATGTCCTCACAGAACATTCCCCTGTGAAGCGCACCGTGCTCGAGCTGTTTTACCATGTGATCAGCTGTGTCCAATCACAGCTGATCACAGTGTAAATAGGAAATGCCGGCTATCGGCAGTCCTCTCCTCATGCTGACAGTACGTGAAGAGAGGAAAGCCAGTAAGCAGCATTTCTCAGAGGGGACATCTACACTGATCATCAGGGCACTGATGATCAGTGTAGCCCCTATCAGTGCTTCATATCAGTGCCCATAAGATCTTTGTATCAGTTCCCATCAGGGATGGCTATCAGTGCCGGCAATCAGTGCCTATCAGTGCTGCCTATCAGTTCCCATCAATGTAGCCACATCAGTGAAGAAAAAAAATCACTTATTTACAAAACTTTGGAAACAAAAACTTTTTTCTTTTTTTTTTTTAATTTTTGGTCATTTTTACTTTGTTTAGAAAAAATAAAACCCCCATTAGTGATTAAATACCACCAAAAGAAAGCTCTATTTGTCTAAAAAAAAATTATAAAAATTTTGCTTGGGCACAGTGTTGCATGACCGCACAATTGTCATTCAAAGTGAAATAGCGCAGAAAATTGGCTTGGGCAGGAAGGGGGTAAAAGTGCCCAATAGGCAAGTGGTTAAAAGTGACTTTTCACTGTAAGGAACAACAACAGAAGGCATATTGTCCATTTATTTTATTGACACTGTAAAATTAGTATAGGTTATAAGTTATCTTTTGCATAACAGGTTGTTCCACATATGCTTTTTGGAAGGAACCAGATACAAAGGGTCCATAGCTTACTTTATAGTTTATAAACAAGCCTAGGACAGCACTTACAAAAAAGTCTTGATATAACTAACTTACTTTCATGTACATCAAGCATAAATCCATGAAAGTGCACTCGCTTTTTTCTTTTCCACTTCAACATGTGCAAAAAACATGTCCATAACCATGGTCTTGCCAGTACCTTGAAATAAGAAAATAAGGTATTAACATTAAATAATTTTTCACTGCACTTTTGACTAATTAAAACTTTAACATGTCACTAAAGATCCTGTACAATGTAAACTGTAGACAAGGATCTATAAATATCTTGAAGATACATAGGCCGGAAAAGATATATGTCCACTATGTGTAATAGAGAAAGTACATTTCTCAAAACTTGGCCATCTAGTAACCACTATCAAAACCTTTGCTGTATCTAAGAATTAACTAACTACATGCCCTCCGGAAGATTTACCCCCCCCTTACTGACCAGGCCATTTTTTGCAATATGGCACTGCGTTACTTTAACTGACAATAGCGCAGTCATGCAACGCTCTACCCAAATGAAATTTTTGTCAAATAGGCAATTTGACAAATAGAGCTTTCTTTTGGTAGTATTTGATCATCTCTGCGGTTTTTACTATTTTGCGGTATAAAAAAATTTACCAACAATTTTGAAAAAAAGAAACATATTTCTTTATATTCTACTATAAAACATACCCAATAAAAAAAAAAAAATGCTTCCTAAATTTAGGCCAAAATGTATTTTGCTACATATTTTTGGTAAATAATATAAGAATTAGTTTGAGCAAAAGTTATAGCGCCTACAAACTATGGGACGTATACTGTAATTTGTTATAATGCTAGTAATGGCAGCAATCAGCAACTTATAGTAATATTGCAGCAGAAATTTTTACACTAACTGACACTTTATGGGAACCAGTGACACTAATACAGTGATCAGTGCTAAATATATACACTGATAACTGTACTAATGACACTGGTTTGGAAGGGGTTGATATCTAGGGTGATCAAAGGGTTGTGTGCCTCGCTATGTGCTTGGTGTACACTAGATGGCGCTGGTACCAGGAAGTGATGGATCCTGTTCCCAGCTCTACAGGGACATAGGATCAATCACTCCCTCCTGTCACAACAGTAAACATAGGTATAGCTCTGTTCTTCCTCCCTGCCTGACAATCTGCGGGTGTCGGCAAACATCTGCTCGCTGGGACTCACAGTTCACAGCAGAAGCGATCCACCAACGGCACACATGCACCCCCCGTGAGGTGGAAGTGCAAAATCATGTATAAATACGTGATTTTGCACAGGAGAGCAGTCCTGTAGCAGTAAAACTGCTATAGGGTGAGGGTAAAGTGGTTAAAAATGATGGCATGTATCAGCTAGTTACAATGGTATAATAATGCTTTAGCTGTAATAGTACACATTACACAATCTTGTTCATGAAACACTACAAAAAAAATAAAAAATTCCTTGCTTCTTCCTGTACATCCTCTCTCATTCCAAGATGATCAGGAATCCAGTAGTCATTTTCAATCCCAACATGACCCTGGAGCCCACAGACACAGAATACTGTAATCTACTCTGCTGTATGAATCTTAATTACTCTTAAGCAGTCAACAGCAGAATTAATGTGGAACTTAACTGCACCACAAACTGAAAACATTAATTTATTTTTAATATTCAAAGTAAATTCACTCCATGCCCATCAATCCATGCCCTCCATGCTTTATTTTGTTGAGAAATCACTTTGAAAAACACCCCCTAACATTTCTAGCAGCGGCCATCTTGAGTAAGGGCAGATGATTAATGTAGCGTTTACTTTCTGGGATCAATCTGCCCTTTACTTCATTGCTGAGAAAATCCCTCCTCCAGATGAAAAAAAATGCCCATGAAGATTCTTTGGATGTATGACATAATTTTGGTATAGGCCAAAAAAACAGGAAGCCAACTGAAAAAATGTAGATAAAAAAAGTTTAAAACAAGTAAACTTCCTATCTATTTACTAAAGGCTAGCAGCATAAGGATTACAATTAGTTAATGCTGATTGAGAGAGTAAAGTTCCACTGCCAGAAACTGCAAGCAGATAGGCTCTTTATTGCAGATGAGGCATGCCAGCACAGTCCCTGTGTGCCAGAATGACTGACTCTCTTCTGCATGCACCCTGCAAACGATGCCAGAAAGAGATGGGACCATTAAAAGGAAATGCAAGTTTAGCTCTGCTTTAAGATGTCTTATACTTTAAGCACACAGTATACTGTAAATAGTAAAATAACAAATCAGTAGCAAGCAGTAATGTAATATATGCAAGCTCTGAAACAGTGAAATAACATTCCAAAAATAATTCTATAACTTACCAACATCTCCAAAGACATAAAGTCCTTTAGGAGGTTTCTTTTGTGAGAAAAACTAAAATGAGACAAGAAGCAGAAGAGTTATTTTGAACATTCTGTTTATATATTAACTGACATTTATAGCAAACTTTAACTGTTCACCATTTCATCAAGCCATGGTAATAAGTTAAAAAAATCATAAAATAAAAGCTATATAAACCACAAGTGCATTTTATACATATATGTTATTCTGAAAGACAAAGTAATATTTACATTTCCTAGTATAGTACTGAAAATGTTTTGAAAAGGTGGTCCTGAGATGACAGCCAGATACCAGATTGCTCACTTATCAAACTATATAAAATGCAGTATCTAGATAACAATAAAGATCAGTTAAGTCCTGACCCAAGCCTTCACTTTTTCTAAAAACTCAAAGTGTATCGACATCCAGTGTCAAATATTTCACATACCACTCAGGTCAGTTCAGGCTCCACAATTGCATCTCAATTACTAGCTCTGCTCTTTTCCACCAAAGCAAAAACTTGGACCAGCAACAGGAATACTACACAACAAGATGCAAAATAATATTCTTAAGATACCATCATCAGGAACTGGTTTCTTGAGAAAGTCCTGTGCCTAGTTTGAAACATATCAGTATAGGACCTATTTCTGCTGGTTATATGTGGGACATTCCTGCTGCTGGTACAAGCGCAACTTTTTATTTGGAATAGAACTGGGAAGGTTTCTACTGCTGTCTGTTCCTTCTAGAAAAAATCATGCTGTCTGTCCTGATGACCATTGGCATAAGAACTAAACCTGAAGGAAAATCCAAAGAATTGAGTTGTTACTAAACTGTAGTAAATGATAAAACATACACTTTAGCTAGAATTAGGGCTTAACATTAGACCATGTATTCATTTTATGAAATGTTTGAACCATGTTTACCTTAAAGTTTTAACCCCAGTTTTGTTGAGAAAGATCAATTCCCTCTGGGTGATCAATGTACATTTCAAGCATATTAACAAACTTTGTTAAGGGTTCCTAACTTTTTCTGCTCTAAATAAATTGCTGTATGTTTCACCCTGTCCTTTCCAGACTGCTTCCTAAATGGGAGGGTCTTTCTTCATTATAACCACCTAATGCACTCTCAGTGTCCTCATGGGAAAAGCTGCATTATCTGCAAGCCTTAGGGAGCATCTCACCAAAATGAAATTTTTACTGTTGGGATGCATAACATTTTACATAGTGCTTAGTGTATCTTAGTACAGACTTCTGAGAAAATCAGTCAGCCAATCACAGAAACAGGAATGGATATGTTGCCATATTGCATTTAATATTTTTGACAGTTCTAGAAAATTACAGCAGTTGTAGATTGACATGGAAAGATAAGTTTTAATTACAATAAATTTCAAAACGGCTTGTATAGCAATTTTGTATGCAATATTTTTTTTGTCTGAACAAAACTAGAATTTTCCCTAAACAGTAAAAATTAGTTCAAAGGTTGGATCGCATCCTTGATATATATTCAGAGCACCATAACCCAGGTGATCTATTATACAAGCAATAAATCACTCGGCAATTCCTTAACTACATAAATCACATAAGGACTAAATACAAACTCCCCTAGGAAAAGTCATACTTTCACCCTTGAAAGCAAAAAATCAATGCTAGAACCTTTTCTCTATAAAAAACTCCAACCCCTAAACCAAAAAGAACAATAAAATAAAATAGATAAAATATAGTCCAAGAAATAATGTCTAAAAATTACTAACCAAATATAAATCGTCCACCAAAATATTCCAATCCAGTGCATCCAACTTCATCCTCCATTCCAGATCACGTGATACCTCGAAAACTAACTAAAATAGTGTATTACCTTCAAAACTTCAATGTATATACTTTGAAATTTAGTGTATACTTTATTAATGCAAAATAATTATTTTTTGCATTAATAAAGTATACACTAAATTTCAAAGTATATACATTGAAGTTTTGAAGGTAATACACTATTTTAGTTATTTTTTTCAAGGTACCACGTGATCTGGAATGGAGGATAAAGTTGGATGCACTGGATTGGAATATTTTGGTGGACGATTTATATTTGGATAGTAATTTTTAGACATTATTTCTTGGACTATATTTTATTTATTTTATTTTATTGTTATTTTTGGTTTAGGGGTTGGATTTTTTTTTTAGAGAGAAAAGGTTCTAGCATCTATTATACAAGCATCAACGCCCAGTCTTTTTTTTTCTATGACCCCCAGTAACTTCGCTTCTGCTTGTCAAATGCATTGAGAGACCTTGCTGGTCAATAGGAAACCAGAGGGAGCAGGATGAGGTGGGTCACACATCAATCACAGAAGATTTAGTCAATATTTGAAAACAGAGTGCATTTTTTGTGATAGGGGGTCTGAGTGGATGGAAGGAGGAACCCAGAAATTTCTTCTTTATGGATCTGGGGCAAATAAGGTTAGCCCACAAGATCACTTTAGAAGAACAACTTACCGTATTTTTCGCACCATAAGACGCACTTTTTTCCCCCCCAAAAAGGGGGGAAAATGTCAGTGCGTCTTATGGAGCGAATGTAAAGCGGCCGGTCCGGTATTTCTGCCGCCACCATGTCAGAATCAGAATACCGGGCCGGCCGCTCAGCTGTTCTCTCCTGCAGGGCCTTACCTGTTGCTCCAGCGCTGCACAGTCTTCCCGCGCTGGCTTCTGTGACAGCCGGGTGCCCACTGGCATGTGCTGCGCTTTGTGAATGATCCGGTGTCTTCTGGGACACATGAAAGGTCACAGAAGGCGCCGGGCCATTCACAAAGCGAAACCTGCGCAGT